TATATATATGACTCATGAGATATTCACGTGAGTTTGTTTTCTGGAATTACAACATTTAATGTAATACAACGACGACCTACCAAGTTTATCTATCATAAACATCTGATGTATAGTTTTCCGAATCTCTTAAACATCTGATGTATATATTTTTCCGAATAAATTATTAAAACGATATCTATTTTAATAACTCCATGCGACCTTGCTAACCATTTTCGTCTTACGTCCTTTTATTACCTTTTTTTCTTTAATCATCGTGATACGCAAAAATATAGGGACATGTGATTATAATTAAACGCCAACAAGAACATGTTACTCATATAGATTACTCATATATGTACGCTACATATAGTACATATATGGTATGTATTATAGTTACATTAGTTTGCTTCTTCAGTAGAAAACTCAACCACTTGAATATAAATAATGGGATATATAGCTTATAACAAAAGAGAGGCCATATGTGTGACCTTGTTGAGTTTGAGAAGTTATCATCAATCTATCTTCTTTGCTCTTTCAAGGTTTGTCATATGGCAATGGAACTCGTCTCCTATACTCTGCGAGTGCCCATACGGGAAAGATGTTTCTGTATGCTGCGTAGTGTAACAAGCAGTTCTTCATGAAAGCTCCTGTTATCTCCTGTCAAAATATACAATTTGGATTCTTCAAAAGTTGGAATTATATAAATTTAGGCTAAGGCAAGACCATGTGACTTGAAAGATATAACTAGCATCCATTTACGCATTAGTCTATCGAATTGAAGAACTATAGGCGTGTATTAGTATGTGCATGTGTGTCTAAGAACCAACAAAAATGCTAAACAGCAAACAAACCAGTTAAAATTGGAGACAAGGAACAGTTATATAAATCTTTTGAGAGGGTTTCATGTTATTAGAAGCACCTGCTGAGGAAAATCGCCATTTTCGAGTTGGGAGTTGATTAAGAGTTTTGCAGCCCGGTGAAGTGGAGTACGATCTCGATCAGCCTGTAATATGAGATTAGAAGAAACAATGACTTTCAAGGAGATGACTAAAGATCTTTCCTATATATCGCAATTCTGAACCTGTCCAGCATGAAGTAGACCCATCATTGCCCAAGAGGTTTGCACCAAGTTTGATCTCTCACCTTCACTTGGAATGTATCTCTGCACACCAAACCAAAAAAAATTTTTTTTTGCTTGAACCGCAGGACGCGTAAATTGCAATGATATTTGGTGATTCTACCTTTTTGGAACATGACAAGTAGCTTTCACCCCAACCTCCATTATCTTTTTGGGTTGTGAGAAGAAAATGAACGCCTTTACGCATAGCCAAACAGTTATTATACGTCTTTCCAGCAGCTGCAAGGCCTCCAAGAGCAAACCATGTACTGTATGTGAAGCAAACTCCCCAGCTTCCGTACCTATAAATCCAAAGATTTATTGGTACTACTATTACCAAAGTCTTTGTGAACAATATCAACGTGTCTGGAAGCTAATATATATAATACCATGAACCATCAAGCATCTGTATGTTCTCTATGTATTGTACGGCTTTCTTGATGAAATTATTGATCTCTTCTGTCCCGTGATTCGGGTACAGTTGCTTGAACAGAACCAAAGCTTGGATTGCCGATGAAGTACACTCATTGTACTCGTGTTCCACCACAATGTCGGCAAAAACTTCAGTAGGATTAAGCAACTGAAACACGGAAAAAAAAAGTGAAAGATGTTTCTGAGATTTTCTTTCCCGGGCCTCGTAAACGCTGTGATATGAATTCTTGATGGGATTTCGTACTTACTTCCAACCATTCTTGTCCTCGGGCGGGCTCCCAAGCAGTTACACCTCCATTTTTACTCTGTAGTAAGAGCAAATGAACAGAAAATTTCCTATCATGAAGTGGAAACTTTTAGAAAGTGTGTTCTATATATAATGATATAAAGCTCACCTGTAGAGACAGTAGGATAATAACAGACTCATATAACTGTTCAGGATTCATTTTTGGGCCAACAATGTCAGGTGGCATCATCGAGAGCAACATGCAACACTGAAACCAAGATAAGTGTGCTAGTTAGCGGAAATCTGGCCCATTCGTTATAATAATTGACAGATTCTGAACACCTTCAATCCTTCAGCTGTGCAGTCAGAAGCTTGCCATCCATGATCTCGATCAGAGAAAGTCCACGACCCTTTGGACATGTGACGGTACATGCTTTTGAAATCACATGAAGGGTTCTCTCTAACCTTCAAAATTCTCATTTTCATAAGACATCTTCACTTGCTCTAATAATTTAAAGTCATAAAATCATACTGCAGAGGATATCAAACCTGAGAATTTTTAAAGAAGTCATGTCCTCTCCTGAGTACATCAGGGATTTCATGCGAGAGATTACTTGCAACTAACGCTTGGAGGGCAAACCCTGAATCCCATAATTGGCTTCCAAAGCTCTGCAAACAAAAAAAAGTATCTCACGAACTCAGGTATTTTCTATGCCGTATGAATTTTTCATTTAGTAACTAACAGTTTAGATTCTGAATATTCATTGATACCTGCATTTTCATCCCATCTTCTGCAATCCACAAGTAATCAGAGATTCTCAAAAGATGCTTCTTGAAATGAATTCCGTTAGGGTCTTCAACCCAACACGCAAGCATGCATAATGCCTTCATAAAGATATCTGAGATTTTCAGTTTAACTAGAAGATAAATACTGAGTACTCCAGCATTTCTGCTACTGCATAAGAACTGTATTGTTTTACCTTTTCGATACATCCAATGGTGATATAACGGCTATTTTCATCTTCATAATGTATGTGTTTCATTGCCGCCACAAGAGCCTTTTCCCTTAGAAGCTTGTTAAATGGCCAACATGTAAGAAGCGGCTCTGTGAATATGTAGAGGCAGTCCCATATAACATCCTGAACAAGTGGACGGGGATAGTACGCATCTTCCTGAGGATAAAAGTGGAAGGTTTTCTGTGAATTTCTCTTCCTCGGAAAACTATTTAAAGAAGAACAATAATCGACCTTACCTTTGCACATAAATGGCGTGCTCTATTCCAGTTTATTTTTGCATAAGGCTGTAAATATATCTCTTCACGAAGTTGTAGAATAAGAGGACTGATTGGACCAACGAATCTCTTCCCGTAAAGATAAGACATTGGCATGTAAACCAACCGGGAGTAACACCACATTTTAGCTGCAGATTTTCGTTAAACAATGTCAAACCAAATTTCAGAAGTGAAGATGAAATTTCAATAGTCAACAGTTATATTGCAAAACACAAGGCAGGGGGCATTTTCCTGTTAACCTTACAGACACTCGCACATTAGGTAGTCTGAAAATGGAGAAGTATAAAGTTTTCTTTCCATCCTCAATTTGAATGCCTCAAAGAAGGATAATAACTGATTCATAGACACTTACTCAATATGTGGGTCCTTACGTTTGCTCCTCTATCATTCCTTAATAGATTGGTACTTATTTTATTGAGTCAACAATGAAGATATTCAAGATGTTAAGAAATAAACCTGGATGTATAGGAAGAAACGAAGGTAGGATCCAAAACTCTGGAGGCATGGGGTTGCTTCCTGACCAATCAAAGACACCGAGTATCTACAAACATTCAACCAAAAATAAAACCAACCTTCTGAATCTTCTTTTCCAATTGGACTAAAAAAGCATCTGGATATTTACCGAAAGCCAAGTTTTCCCCCAAGAGGGTATGAATGTAGCACCACCATGGCCAAGAATCCAGTTCCTGGCACGTCCGCATGCCTTTCCTGGTCCTCCATTCGGACTTTCTCCAAGTATGCGCATGCATATGTAGTTTAGTGTGGTGCAGAACATCGTACTGTGGCCTTCTATGTGTAATCCCCACCCACCATCTTCATTCTTCAATCCCCACATTTATTGAAAAGAGTTTATAAAGTAGCATAAGTGGTACGTTTCGGAGATCTACTTATAATATACCTGGTGACAGTAGATATATCGGAGAATCTCGCGACAATGCTCTTTGGTGAATATCTCATGGAGATGTCCAGTGACGAATAGACAGAATACCTGTATCTTACAAGAAAAAAACAATATCAGAGAATTTGGATGAAGGGATTTGGGGAATAAAACAAAAAATCCCTCCAAACGAGAATGTAATCAAAAATAAGGAAATGTTTAAAAAGAAGAAAACAAGTTGCAAAATAAAGAAGCAAATGCATAACTCAGATCGGAAGGAAAACAGAGACATTTTGCAGACTTAATAAAAAAAAATATACAAGAAGCAGAGCATGTTGCAACAGAATGACACATAACTAATGCAGCCTCACCGATAAATTTAGGCTCATTTCCTAGGACAAGGATTGAGACTCAGAAACTAAAGCTCTTCCCAACCTTACTTTTCCTTTTTCTCTACAGATTAGTACCTCGATACAGTGACTAAAGGAATCCATATTCTGTAACTTCAATGAAAACATGTTTTTCATGATAGTTTCACTTGAATAGAATCTATGTACTTAAAATTTTCACCAAGATTTCTTGTTTCAAATCTTCTAAATCACTCATTTTTGTTCTGGGTTTCTTGTACCAACACAACATTGCTACTACTATTTCACAGCCAGTGATACGAAATTTTAGAGCAGAAAGAGACATACCAATGGAGGAAAGAAGAACAAAGGACCAGCATTTTCAGCAGGCCAGTGACCATCACTGGCTTGTAATGCCGATAAGAAATTGACCCCTCTCCTTAACGCATTTGTAGCTATCTCGCTCGTGATTTTCTTCCCGTCTTCAACTTTCACCGGAGGTATAGCTTGCTCGAATTTCTTCTCATTCAGAAACTACACCATGGGAAAAAAAAAACAAACAGCAGGATTATAATCTTCGCTTGAATCATCAAATTCGAAGTATAATCAACACATGAACATCGATTACTGGCACCACTATGTTCCGTAAATTCCGATCGTAATCTAGATCGGAGTTTGAGAAAGAAGGATTGTTGTTTCTCTCCGGCGAATCCAGTAGAAGAAACACGATTAGTTTTCGAGTGAGAAGGTGAAGCGAGAGGGGTTTTTCTCACTTCTCTCGGATAAGAAAATGGAAACTGCATGGAGGCTAACGCCGGTGGTAATTCCCGTCGACGGCGAGTAAACCGGAAAGGTCACCGTCGAAGGTTAGGGAGTGTAGCTGAACGTTTGAGCTATTCTCTCAGTGACTTTTCCGTCGAAATCTTTTAGTATATTTATTTACAGTTAAGCCCTTACATTTATAAATAAGTCTACAATTCGGTCTAATACTCTTGTAACTGACAAATTGACATCTATTTCGAATAATTTATTTTAAAACTAAAAAGAGTAACGGTTTTTGCCTTGAAGGGTTAGCAAAAAACTAAAAACATGGACCTAACCCATAATCACGTTCTTTAGCCATCTCCATCTTTTAATGCGTGTAATTACAATAACTAATGTTATATTTTTTTCCTTCGAATATCAATGTAAATTGAGTTTAATAGAAACTTGAGGTTAGATACATACTGTTGACCAAAACAAAAACAAAAAAGATACATAATCTTCTATATTTATTTTATAACTCTAAACTCTCATAAAGATTAGAACTGTAATACTTCTCGACAGCCTCGTATGTGAGATTATTATATGATGATATACATATAGTATAGCCAATTAGCCATCGACGCACAAAAGCTAGCCATTTAGAAAAATATAAACTTCTACAATATTTAGATCGTGTATAAAATAAGTTTACATAATATATTCTATATATGAAACCCTTGCGTGGAAATTAGTTTCATGGAGTAATATTTTACTTCTAAACATAAACTAGCGTGCATTTTAAAAACCAGTGTTAGTGTAAGTTTGTAACGATCTCACAAACTGGACGTGATAAAAGATTATGAATTCGTCACTCATGATATTACTATATTTTCTACGAAAGAAACTAATTATTGATCATATAATGTAATATTTTCAGCTTTTGTTAGTTTTAGAATACAAGGAATTAAGGATTAACAAATATACCTGCATACGCCATATGAGATCGCTGCTAGCTTTAACACGAAAACGATCATCATAAAATTTCCGGCGAGCTTCTTCCACTGCGGCTCGTTCCTCCGGTGTACCGGCGTTGGGATCAAACTCCCATATCTGCCGTCCGAGGAAGTTGTTGGTGCTGAACAAGTAGGGCTCTTCTTTGTTTCCATTTGCTATCTTCAACTTCCACATTCTTTAGTTCCTAATTAATAATTAATCTAAAAAGATGGCATGTATTATGCATAAAGTATATATGTTTATAGATGGACGTAGTTTATGTGGAGAAAAGAAGAGAAGTAGATGCAATTGAATTGATTTACATACGCACACATACATAATCCGTTTTT